TGACGGCTACGACTTCCAGGACCTGCGCAACATGCCTCCCACACAACAAGCCACCTTGCTTCAGCTCATCACTGATGTTGAGCAAGGTCAACCCTGGCCTCAACAGCTCTTGGAGGGCCACGCTGTTGGCATACCCAAGACAACTACTGCCACCATGGTTCAAGACTTCCGGCCGGTGGTCATCACATCACTGATCCAGCGCAACTGGAGCTCCCTACGCGCCAAGCAGGCCACCCGTCGCCTTGCGCTCATGGTCCCGTTCATGGCCATGGGCTTCCTTCCCAACCGGGAGCCTGGTGAGCTTTGGCTCACTACCCAGGCCCTGATTGAACACAGTCTCCAGCACGAAACCCCGCTACTGGGGCACATCACGGACATTTGCAAGGCGTTTGACCATTTGCCTCGCCAACCAATAGCGTGGCTTCTATGCCACCTGGGAATGCCTTCGCTCCTCGTTGACGCTTGGCATCGATGGCTCGACCAAATGAGTCGCCGCTGGACCTGGCATGGCCAGATTGGAGAGCCGCTGCATTCAACGACGGGATATCCCCAGGGCTGTGCTCTCAGCTGCGTGGCTATGATCGTCGTGGATCTGGCCTATCATCACTACATGCACCACTTCTCGCCCAAGATCCTGGCCACATCCTTTGTGGACAACTTCGCCCTTCTGGGACACTCGATTGGAGACCTGATCCATGGCATCGTCACCCAGGCCGTCTTCATGGACCTCTGGCAGCTGGACTTGGATCAATCCAAAACCTTCTGCTGGGCCACGCTGGCTCCTCTTCGTGCCAGCCTCACTAAGCTGGGGCACACAGTCAGGCTGCATGCGCGCGACCTGGGCGGGCAGCTCACCATGCAGGCTAAACGCCACACGGCTTCCCTGCTGGGCCTCCTAAAGTCTTTGGATGACGTGTGGCTACGAATCCGGAGACTTCCAGTACCACAGGTGCTCAAGGAGCAGGTCATCATTCAGGCCCTTTGGCCGAAAATCTTCCACGCCACAGGCATCAATGTGTGCCCTGACCAAGTCATCTCCAAACTCCGTACCAAGGTGTGCAAAGCACTTGGCCACGGTCTGGCAGGTGCTCAACCTGCGGTCCGCCTAACCCTGCTCAGCTCCAACCCACTACTGGACCCGGGCCTGTACTGCCTCTGGACCACCTTCCGTGACTTCCGGCGCTTGACATCCAAGCAGCCCTACCTGCTCTTGCTGTGGCAGGACTTCATGGCGCACTTCTCTGGCCATCTGCATCCAGGCCCATTCAGCGTTCTTCTGAACCAGCTGGAGCTCCTTAGCTGGCATCTGCATGACCCTCCCTTCGTCTCTGACCACACGGGACATCAATTCGACTTCCTTGGTCTTGCGGAAGACCAACTTTGGACGAAGGCGGTGCATGGGTGGCACCTCAGGCTGTCCCGGACACTTGCTCGGCGCAAGGACATCGATGGTCTTCTGGGTCTCGACTGGCGCCCAACTCAACTCGCGCTGCAAAGTCTTCCACCCCTCGCTCTGGCCAGCATGCAGGCCCTTGTGGAAGGCTCGTTCATGACGGGTCGATCTCAGGCCAAATTCGACCTTACCAAAGATGGGAGCTGCTCTTTCTGTTCGGGCCCCGACACCATTGAGCATTGGTGCCTACATTGTCCAAGGCTTCAACCGGTTCTGCACCGGCATGCCGACATACGGCGGCGTTGGCATGCCCTTCCCTCGTGCATGACAGAGCATCTGCTCTGTCCAGCCAATCCCTTTCACCAGCAGCTGCTCCATCAGCTCTGGCTTCAGCCTCAGACCGCCTTGCACGCACACACCTCTGCTCTTCCTTCCCACCTCGACTTCTTTACTGATGGCTCCTGTTACCAACCCCATCACCCGATGCTGGCGTTAGCAGGATGGGCGGCTTCATTGGCCTTCACCGACTTTGATTTGGCAGGCCCACTGACTGGCCACCCTCAGACCATCAGTCGAGCGGAACTCACGGCAGTGCTTCAGGTATTGCGCTGGTCCAACGTGCATGCTATCGCCTCACCGATCTCTATTTGGACGGACTCTGCCTATGTGGCCTCGGGAGTCAATGCTATGCTCCATGGTTTGGATCACGAACCTGGGGCTAACTGTGACCTTTGGGCGGACATTGAGAACGCCCTGTCGGTTCACGAGGCGACGATTCAGATACAGCATGTTGCGGCGCATGGGGATTCGACGGTCAGCCTTAATCCGGTCTCGGACTGGATCGTCGCTCACAACAACCGTGTCGACCTTCTGGCTAAGCAGGCAGCCTGGCAACGCAATATGCAGTTTTTACAGAGCCACTCGCAGTACCAACAGCATGACCTTCAGGTTTGTCGGGACATCAAGGCACTGGTTTCTCTGCATGTGGATGTTGCATCGGCACGTGCTCAGTTGTTGGCCACCCCACTGGAATTGGACCCCGAGCTTGAGGCTGAATCGACCCCGCAATGTGTGATTCCCTGGCTCCATGATTCCTACTGGTTGGACGATCTGCCGATTGCCTGGAGCAGCCTTTTGCGGGAAAGTCCGATTATGGCACCCTTTGACCCGCCCTTCTTTCTGACATTGATGCAGTGGTTGCATTCGATCGATACAGTTGGTGCGGGCCTTGCAGCCGTGAGTTGGATTGAGCTGGCCTTTTTGGTGAAACAGGCCAACTTCGCGCCTTTACCGGTACCTGCACCTGGCTTGCAGGAGAGGTGGAACAATGGATCTTCCCGGCACCATGGTATGACACTCGCATCCTGTGTGCGCTATCTGCAACGTGGATTCCGCGCGGCGATGCGGGTCTGGAACGCTCCCATGCCTAGTGTGACTCTGGTGCATCTCGCACCCATTGGAATTCATATGCCTGTCAGAGGCCTCCATCTTCGCCTGGCGGAACACCATCTTGTACAGGTGCACCATTTGATTTCGGCGTTCACTGCCACGAGGCGAATCAGGTCTACCAATGACCTGTCCAGACCTTTTTGAGGACAAGAGACCGCTGCGTGCCGCACCGCCTTGTAGCTGTGCGCGCGCTTGAACCGGAGTGAATGAATGTTTCTCAGTGGGAGGGTGTGGAGAGACTATGTTGTAGAGCGTTCCAAGGGTTTCAGAAGAAAGTGGTGGACTCCACTTTTCCTGTGGCTTCAACAGCTCAGATGATTGCTCCAACGACAGCACAACAGATTTGTTGCACATAACCCCACAAACACTGCTCGTACCTCTCCTTGGCCAATCCGGCCGCCCTGTGCTAGCAAACCACAGGATCACTAAGCTTGCCTCGTGCAGCGCTGGTGCGCGTAGGGCCCAGTGAGTGACTAAATTTCACAGGGTAGTGCAAGTGACTACATCATCGCATAACCTTTTTCCAGGGTGCGCAAATGTATTCGCTCTCAACTCGGCCCCGTGCCTTCTGCTGCTTCATTTTTCCTCAGCTCTCGGCTTCTGCAGCTGGCGTAGGCCTAGCGGTTAACCAGGGGCACACATTTCGCGTGCCCCCGGTTAGGTTCCAGGAGTCCCCGGGTGACTGCTTGGCCCTGGTTAAGAGTTTGCGGTGCCTCTTTTTCACGTCCCCCACGCAATGTTGCTGTTATGTCCCCTTAAGAGCTTCTCCGACGGAAGCGGTTAACCAGGGGCACACAATTCCAGGCTCCAGCCTTCAGACTTCAGGCTTCAGCCAGCCTCCAGACTGCAGCCTCAGACTGCAGACTCCAGGCTCCAGCTTTCACGCTCCAGACTTCAGACTCCAGACTCAGACTCTCCGGACTCCAGCCAGCCTCCAGATTCCAGACTCCAAACGCCAGACGCCATGGGCGGGGCTGCCCCCCCCACCGCTAGTTTCTAGACTTTTCGCAGATATTTAATTGCACCCCTATTCGAGTCAAACGATTTGTTGGTGATGCTAGGGATGTTGGTCGGACATGCAGGGGATGTTCAAAGCAATGCTGGGGATGTTGACGGGCTAGTGTAAAATGCCTCAATTTCGCAAGAACATGCTGTAAACTACGACATTTTGGCCCGGACGAAAAACGGAAAAAAAATCAATCCGCAATTCATGCTTCTTTGCATGTACTGCCCACGTGCGAACGCCCATATGACGTTGCAAAGCACGGCCTGGGACTGGTGCGAAACTCAAGCCCGTTTTGGAGAATCTTCAAACTGCGGCTGAGTGGAGAAACCGCGTCTGAGACTGCGGAATCTGCAAACTCAGAACCAGCTTGGAGATTGTTCAGACAAAAGGGGTTAGCTCAAAGGACATTGGACTTGAGATCTCTGACAGTCCTCCGGGTTCCATTGACCTTGCGTTCGGGGCCTTGCCTTTCCTAACGTAGTTGTGTGTCCTGCAAGGACTCGGTTTTCCCTTGTGATCTGGGGATCCCACTGGGATGTTTTCGCGCATCCGTGAGCCATTGAAAGTGGGGAGGATTGTTTGCACAAGGAGCTCATCTTGGGCTTTACAGGTTTGTGGAGGGATGTTAGTGGCGCCCTTATTGTCTGTCGGTTGTGGGCGATCGTGGATATAAATTTCTGACGGTTGGCATCTTTCCTGTGACACAGCGAGGGTCTGGGACGGATCACATGAGAATGCGCATCATTCCACTTAACAACCCTGTCCTGAAGCTCTGAGTTGGGGATTCCAAAACATGGGACCTACACAGGATTGCACAAGGGGTTGGTATTTTGGACTCTCCGTTGCCTTTTGTTTTTTCCCTTGGCGATGACAGCCCTCTGAATGACAGACAAACATCAGGGACACGCAAAACTTATTGATGGCTCTCTATCGCTCACGTGGGTCTCGGGTTAGCTTCCATAAAGCTAAGGAAACGCGGGACGTAGACTGCAAGACACGGTTTGAGCCTACGATCTGCGATAGGCCGATTTGTTGCTTTTCGGGAGGAAGTCTCGCATAGCCCACTGCTCAGCTCCTTTCAACATCCAAACGCCCCTGACTCTTTCCAATCCCATACCTTTTGCCTGCCCTCCACTCAAGCCTCTATCCGAGGAACGGATTTGCGGCACTGGTGACGAGCCTCTTCTCCTCTTTGCTCTTCGCCTTACTTTTCGGCTTCGGCATATTGCCGGCCTACAGTTTCGGCGAGGAGACAGAGGAGGACTTCCGCTCTGCGCCTTGGAGAGGGCGACCGGAGTGTCCTGGGAATCGGAGGTTGGTCCAAGGGTTTCTTCCCTTGCGGCGCTTTGGTGGCCTGCCTTCCGGCCGGCCGGCCAGGCTTGTTGTCATTTTAGTTGTGCGCGTAAACGGGTTGCACCTGCTGTCAGTGTCGTTCACCATTTTTTGCGTGTGTTCGCAGCCAGCGAGGTTGTGTTTGCCACAATTTACTTCTGGTTTCCTGAGTTGTTAGTGTTTTGTTACTTCTGTCATGTTCTCATGGTTGGTTTCCTCATTTGCAAGGTGTGGGCCCTGTCAGCGGGGTGTGTGGCCAGCTGCCTCACCCTGCTGCTTTGGCGCCCCCAGACCTGCGTTTTCCTGGACCGTGTTTGCATCGATCAGCGCAGCCCTAAGGCCGGAATCGCCATGCAGCTGCTCGGTGTGTCTGTTTGCTCGGGGTCCCCATTTGGTTGTTTTTTTCTGGAAAACCAAACGGCAACTTTGAGACGCTCTTTTTAAACTCCTATTAATTGGAGCCCTCAAGATGACATCAGATCGAGCGAACTGCGAACAGGGCCAAGAGGTGTCCAGGCACTCCAGGCTATATCAGGGGTTGGCAGTGGATGGGGTGCGGCAGCATCAGGTGCTCGTACGATCAGAGTTGGGTCCCATTATAAAGAGATCGAGGTGTCAAAAAATCATGCGGTATATATGGCACCGTGTTCCCACCCCCGGAAAACCAACTCCAACTGCAAAAATAATTGTGCGGTCGCGGGTTCGATCCCCGCTGTGTCCGCAAGTACACAAAAAATCAATACAAGAGCATGCCTGCAGCTCCAGCTGGAACATCGCATTCTTTAAGTGCAAAAGTAGTACGCGACGCGCGCTCCCCTCAGAATCACAACTTGCACAAAGAAACTTGCACAGAGCACTCGTGGAGAGCAACGTCCAGACCTGCGCGGAGTAACTGCGCGGAGCACTCGTGCAAAGACACTTGCGCAGAGCAACGTGCGCTGAGCTACCGGCGCAGAGCAACTTGCATAGGGCCATTGCCCAGCCAACTTGCGCAGAGCAACTCGCGCAGAGCATTGTTGCGCAGATAGTTTCGCAAACGCGCGCAGGGCAACTCTTGAAAGGAATATCTCGCACACAGATTTTGCGGGGGGCAACTTGCATAAAGCAACATGCGCAGAGCTCTCGCAGAGATCAATGCGCAGACTTCCCAGAGCAACTAAAACAGCGCACAAGCGCACAAGCGCACAAGCGCACCGAGCGTGCCACAGCAACAACTTGCGCGAAGAACCTCTGGAAACAAGCAACTCGAAAAGAGCTACTTGCACAGAAGTTGCCCAGAGCAACTCCGCTGAGCAATTGGCAAAGAAAACTTGCGGGCAGCATTTTGCGCTGCTGCGCTTACACAGGACCAAGTCCTGCAGGTGTATTATTTGGAACACTTGCATGTTTATTGGGGGGGAGGCTTGTTATCATCGCGGTGGGGCGACCAGGGCTTGACAAAACATGGCGGCAACATGCTTTCGGGCCATAGTTGATTCAAAACTCACACACGCAAGTGCCTTTGGCCTGAAAATGCTTCTGGCATGAAATTCGATTGCGTGGTGCAGCATTTGGACAAGAATGCTGGGTGTCAAGCATTTGGTTTTTCTTGCCTCTACATGCTGGCGGGCACTTTGTGCTTTCGGTGATTGACCAGGGAGAAGGCATCAAGTGTTGAGAGTCCTGAGATACGATGAAACATTGGAAACCATGTCCCAGGCATGCATTGACAAGACTGAGGTCTTGCTTGCAGAGCTGTACTGATTTTGTGGCATCGGTGGGGCCTCCTTACATTGTCTAGTATTGGGGAAAAAGGTTTGGGGACTTGTCTAACAAAGTGGTTGACTACTCCTTGGTTGGCCCTACATATATGTAGCTAGGTGCACAATGTGCTGAATGTCAGATGTGGCTCTTGTTTGGGTTGTGCATCGGCAAGGGCTTGACCCGTGAATCTTTCTGAGTGTTAGCAGGATTTCGCCACATAGTCCTCACTGTGCTGGATGGTGTCGCCCATGCGCCCGCAGCTGAAGAAATGCTAAAGAAACCCACTGTGTCCTGATTCTGGTATTTTCATCGTAGGGGAGCTTGTCACACATTCCCCTAAGAAGAAGTCGAGCAGACTTTACATGGGGGGATATGCAAGCGCGAATTGCACGCTGCGAGCCACCCGCCAGGCTAAAGCCGAGGGCACGCTGAATGTCGGCGCGTTTTTGAAGAACTCGGACGCGATGTTGGCCCTTTGGGACTCCTCCTACGCTCAAAGGCAGGCGAACCGCCCAGCCATTCCCGTACCGCTCTCGAAGGTCGCTTGTAAAGCATGGCCTTGTAAAAAGGAGGGCTGAACAGAACATGTCTGTTGGCGCAATGTTGCAGTAAATTTACACGCGATGAGTTGAATTGAGTTGATGTTTGACGGGAATGTGAGCCCCGTCCACGCTTGGGAAGGTGCATGCCAAAGGCTTCCAGTTGCATGGTGTTCCTCTTGGTTGTCACTAGGGCTCATGAGGGGCTTGCTTCATCACAACAGGCTTGCTCGACTGGCCTTTGCCAAGTGGCGCTCTTGTGGACCCAAGGCAGGCTCTCATACCTTGCTGTATCTATAGTTTCCTAATTTGGGGGATGTGTGTTTTCTGCGAACCAAACGTTCTTCATGCATACGGACGTGGCCGTTATTAACAGATATATACTTGTTATGTTGTTTGTTTGAGTAACCCATTGCTTTCTTGCTTGCTTGTTTGTTTTCCTCTTCTGGCACTATGCAAGTTGTGTGTGCGTGTGCGTGTGCGTGTGTGTGCGTGCGCGTGCGCGCGTGCAAGGGTGCGTGCGTGCGTGCGCGCGTGCGCGCGCGGGCGCGAGCGCGGGTGTGTGTGTGTGTGTGTGTGTGGGTGTGTGTGTGGGTGTGTGTGTGGGTGTGTGTGGGTGTTTGCGTTTGTGTTTGGGTTTGTGTTTGTCTTTGTGTTTGTGTCTGTGTTTGTGTCTGTGTCTGTGTTTGTGTCTGTGTCTGTGTCTGTGTCTGTGTGTTTGTGTGTGTGTTGGTGTGTGTGTGTTGTGTGTGTGTATGTTGTGTGTGTGTGTTGTGTGTGTGTTGTGTGTGTGTTGTGTGTGTGGTGTGTGTGTGTGTTGTGTGTGTGGTGTGTGTGTGTGTGTTGTGTGTGTGTTGTGTGTGGTGTGTGTGTGTGTTGTGTGTGTGTTGTGTATGTGTTGTGTGTGTGTGTGTTGTGTGTGTGTGGTGTGTGTGTGTGGTGTGTGTGTTTTTTGTGTGTTGTGTGTGTGTGGTGTGTGTGGTGTGTGTGTGTGTGGGTGTGTGTGGTGTGTGTGTGTGTTGTGTGTGTGTGTGGTGTGTGTGTGTGTGTGTGTGTTTGGTGTGTGTGTGTGTGTGGTGTGTGTGGTGTGTGTGGTGTGTGTGGTGTGTGTGGTGTGTGTGGTGTGTGTGTGGTGTGTGGTGTGTGTGTGTGGTGTGTGTGGTGTGTGTGGTGTGTGTGGTGTGTGTGGTGTGTGTGGTGTGTGTGGTGTGTGTGGTGTGTGTGGTGTGTGTGTGTGTGTGTGTGTGTGTGTGTGGTGTGTGTGTGTGTGTGTGTGTGTGTGTGGTGTGTGTGGTGTGTGTGTGTGGGTGTGTGGTGTGTGTGTGGTGTGTGTGTGTGTGTGTGTGTGTGTGTGTGTGTGTGTGTGTGTGTGTGTGTGTGTGTGTGTGTGTGTGTGTGTGTGTGTGTGTGTGTGTGTGTGTGTGTGTGTGTGTGTGTGTGTGTGTGTGTGTGTGTGTGTGTGTGTGTGTGTGTGTGTGTGTGTGTGTGTGTGTTTGTTTGTTTGTTTGTTTGTTTGTTTGTTTGTTTGTGTTTGTTTGTGTTTGTTTGTGTTTGTTTGTGTTTGTTTGTGTTTGTTTGTGTTTGTGTGTGTGTGTGTGTGTGTGTGTGTGTTTTGTGTGTGGTGAGTGTGGTGGGTGCGTGTGTGGTGTGTGTGTGTGTTGTGTGTGTGGTGTGTGTGTGTGTGGCGTGTGTGTGTGTGTGTGGTGTGTGCGAGTGGCGTGTGTGTGTGTGTGGTGTGTGTGTGTGGTGTGTGTGGTGTGTGTGGTGTGTGTGTGTTTTTTGTGTGTGGTGTGTGGTGGGTGAGTGTGTGTGGTGTGTGTGTGTGTGTGTGGTGTGTGTGTGTGTGGTGTGTGTGTGTGTGGCGTGTGTGTGTGTGGGGTGTGCGTGTGGCGTGTGTGTGTGGTGTGTGTGTGTGTGGTGTGTGTGTGTGTGGTGTGTGTGTGGTGTGTGCGTGCGGCGTGTGTGGTGTGTGGTGCGTGGAGTGCCTGGTGTGGCTGCGGCCTGCTTGTCTGCCGTTTGCAGTCTGGTGTCTGGTGTCTGGTTCTGGTGTCTGGTGTCTGGTGTCTGTGTTTGTGTCTGTGTATCTCTGTGTCTCTGTGTCTGTGTCTCGGTGTCTCTGTGTCTGTGTGTGTGTGTTTGCGTGCATTCCTTGGGTGACCCTAAATGGGTTCTAACAAGTGAGTTCTAGGATGATTGGCCTTTGGTGCGAGCAGGTACCGGCTTACTAGAATCGATGTTATTAAAAAGTAAGTCAACACAACAATACCTTGCTTGTTTCTTTGGTGATGTTTGCCCGCCCTTGACTGCAAGAGAAGGCTGTTCCTTCTCTCCCAGTTGGCATTGTAGAGCTCCCATACGCCGAAGAACTGGTTTCTGTTTTAGCTTGAGTTGGTTGTGGTCCATCCTGGTTTGCTTTTGAAGGCGTCCTTTTCAAGGCGCTGCCACTCAGGCTAACATGTGATCAGGAATCTTGATCCATTTGCGAGACTTGTCATTTTTCCTCGCTTGAGACAGGTGGTACCTAATCCCACGGTGGCATTTACTCTGAATATTTGTGAATCCATTTCTCGATTTCGTTCACATTTGGCTGGATGGACGCTTTGATTCTTTGAGCCGCGGGCATTCCGCTCGGGCTGGCGCATTTCGGCACCAAAGCTGCTAGGCTCTGGTGCGTCTTCGAGCTGGCAGCGTACCTCAAGAGCCATGAGCGGCAGGAGCGGGACTGAATTTCGTTCGGTTGAAGACGTGGACGACGCTTTTCTGGAAATCAACAGAAGGCGCCCCGCACAAAAGAGGGGGTCCCGGGGTCCCTTCTCCCAAAAGGAGCCACCTCCGAAAATTCATTCCCGAAATTGCAGAGGGTTCTTCCCTTCGGTGCTCTCGCGCTGGTCTTTCTCGGAGAACTTGCTCAGCGAACCGATGCTCAGAGAAGCTTGTTCACCAAACTTGCTCAGAGAAGCTGCTCAGAGAAACTTGTTCAAAGACTCGGTCAGAACTTGCTCAGAGGACTTGCTGGAACAAAGTTGCACAGGGCACAGAATTTTGTTTCCAAATGCGAGGGCGGGTCGACCTTCAACGCTGCATGTGCTACTACGTGCGCAGGGACCTCTGCGTGGTGAAATACTAATTTTCCGGTTTTGGGCCTGGGCCCGAGCCCCAGACCGCCACTAACAGCTCCTGCCGAAAAGGCAGCGCAAGTTAGCGGCGCCAGCTTCAAACCAGGCAACGCCAAGCGTGCGAAGTGCACTCATACAATTCCCACGTGGGACTGTCGCGGCTGTGGCTCAAAAATTGTATCACACTTTCACAGCTATGGCTCGAACATGGCAAGCAAGCGTTAAGTGCACAAAGTAATTGCCATTTGGAGTTTTCTGCAGCGCGCATTCGTGCTGGAACTTGAAGAACGCTGACCAGACTTTCGCATAGTTTATCAGTTTCCTCCCTGCAGATGCACACGGAACCAAGCCTAGAAGACAGGTGGCGCGGGTTGTAAACAAAAGCACACTGGCACAGCAAGTGGAAGGACACGCAGGTGTTTACGAGGACAAGCTACAACGCAGAGATGCTATAACACGGAGATGCAGTTGAAAGCAAGCAACCCCTACGAAGGCCAAGCAATCCCGATCCTTCGTAGCTCTTGCGCGTCCAACAAGAAAACCGAGAAGAACAAACAACCAGCGCCTGTGAGTGCCCACGCCTGCTCAGACCCTACAGTCTTCCGAGCACGGCACGCCAAGCTGCCCAGAAGAGCTGATCCTTCATCGTGCTTGCCGCTCCAAGAAAGGAAGCAGAGCCTGCGCCATTTTACGGTCCTCAGCACTTGCACTGCATAGAAGCGGCTACGGCTAAGAGTCCAACATGGAGTTCCAAGAGGACTTTGTACAGGCACATCTAGATCACTGGTTCTATCATTTTCCCCCACCTCCCCCCAGCTTTCTTTTGCCAACAAAAGGACCCCAGTCCGATTTTTTTGCAGTATTTTTGCCAGGGGGAGCGGCTGGTGCTCCGACCCACCTTCATTGGCCCCTGCTGCGTGGCGATGAGTCTCTGCATGGTGGGCTTCATGGCGCCCCGGAAGTTTGTGGCATCCGATGGATCGATCGCGGGGGATGGGACCCGTGGGCGGCCCGGGCGGCGGAGAAGCGGATAGGTTGATGTAACTCACTAGGGTTGATTCCTGGACATCACAAATGAGTCTTGAGCCGGTACAGTTCGTAGCCATGTCACAAGGCTTCAAGGCTCCACGCACTGCCCTATTAGAGGATCTCAAATTGCGAGGGCCCAACATCCATCACAGCCCAAAGGGCAGCTAGGCAAACGCGAATCACGTGGGGTGCGACCTGTTCAAAAGACTTCGCCAAAATGACCTCCTCGGTCTGGGAAAGGCATCAATGCGCGCACGAAGTCGCTTCAGCTCAAGCCCTCGGACCCCTCCTTGGTGAAAACTGTTAGCGTGATTTGCTTCCTGGGTGTTTCTCATAATAATTGGCGGTCGGCATTATGAAAGCGATCGCTGTTGAGCATGGAGGCTATCGCAACATGAAACGGTTATTGATGGTTATTGTCGGGACTGTAAGTGGTTGCGGTTGGCTTGGTTTTATTTGGCCATCCTGTTGCCGTTGGCCTTCCTGATGGCATGTGCAGGTTTGTGGGGCCCTTGTTCGACCTGGCTTTCTCATCCACATGTTTGGTCGAGCCAGTTTGTTTCCTTTGCTCAGCCTTTTTGTTTGGCCTCGTTGGTGTGAAGCCTTTTGCATGTTTGGTCAGACTTTCCGGGCGTCTTGGATTCGTTCAGGCGGTGCTGGCAACTGTGCCCTTCGACGATCAGATTGTCGGAAGTGTCATCCTGTGCCACGGCCTACATGAAAAGAAGAACGTGGGATGGGTTCATGAGAAAGGGGTGTTCCTCGAAGTAGGGACCTTTCGGAGAATGTTGAAAGGGAAAATCAAAGGAAATCTTCGCACCCATGCACACATACCCAGCTGTCACAGGAAATTGAAAGAGACGGATCGCATGCCGAAACTACTTGTGTGGCGAAGCGTCACTCCCGAATTATTTGCGGGAGCGCAAAATCATTCTGGCATTCCTCAGCTTCAAAGGAAGCCGAAGGATGGACCATGTTGGCATGTTTGCTGACCAAAACCCACCAAGCTGCAAGGGAAACAAATGACCCATGGGTTGGTTGATTTGAAGGGGAGGAACAGAGAACAACAACTGCCTGCAGCAAAAGAAGGAAGTCGGCCCCGACAAACTGACCAGTGGGCTTTGGGCCGCTCCAATTGCCTCTTATCCCTGGCTGCCCCGTGCAAGCCAACTAAACTGAGAAAACCATTGGACCAGTTTCAACATGCTGTGGTTGCCAAGTTCAAGTGAATTAGTTGCCTTTGGCGGGGTCCAGCAAAAATATATAATCTTTTCCCCATCGGAGCGGGCGCCCCATTTTCCTTTTCTGCCTGCTCTACTTGTGAGGCTCCCAGTACTTTGCGCACCTTGTGTCACCTTCACAGGGACGTTTGAGGTTGAAGGTTGTACACCACGCGCTAGGATTCAGTTGGGACGGACTGTATCAGTTTTGCACAAAACAAGAGAACTCACTAATTTTCCCATGGCTCATTCCGGGTATATACCAAACGACAGCCTATAAATCCATTAGGTTTCTCAAGGGTGCTCCCCCAAGACTTGGAATTCAAATTGCCTAGGGTTAGTGATGCAACGCCACGAAAACTGTTCAACGCACGGACCTCCCCTGCCGCATTCCTCGAGGATTCCATGAACGGGGGCTGCAATTCCCAGAGGGAGAGCCGGTGTTGAGGGTTTCGACTCCGAACACCCGGAGTCGCTTTCTTTAAGATGGGGCTAGGAAAACCATGCTGAGTTGGAAGCTTTGAGCCATCCTGATGCATGTGTCTTCCTGAAGCGTAGCGAGTCTCTCGACGCCTTTCATCCTAAATCAGTCCCCTCGCCGGTACTCTTGAGGCGGGTATTTGCAGTTCCTTTCATGTGCTCAAGATGACGTGTTATGTATTCACACAGATCGCAGGACAGTGGTCATGACTAGTGACTAGTACACATGGCACTTTTTAGTGGTACCGTATATGAGGTACAAACTCGGACTTTGGTCGTGGCATACTTCAGGCAAACAAAAGGCAAAAGCAATCCGTGTGGGAGGTGTGGGACGATCCATTGCCGCGCTCTTTGCAATTTACAGTTCACAGGGTCCAAAATTGACCGCGCGCACCAGCGTGGGTCTTATGGATCCTAGTGAGGGCTGTACTCAGCTAGAAGTACAGCCTTAGCGTAGTCGGCTTGATCCCGTTTCCATGTTTTGGCTTCTGTGAGAGCATGCAAGAGCTTTTGTTTATGCGTGCCGGCACGCCTAAAGCTCAACGGTTTCTCCAACCTTTGAGTTGGGTCGCGCTTCTCTCAAGTTTGTGCACCAAGCATTCGTGCGTACCATGAGGCGATCCAAGTTCAGCACTTGAAGTGGGAGGAAATGGACACCAAGCAGGCAAATCTTTCATGACAAAGCGGGCAGATACCCTTAAGCCAGAAGATCAAAACAACTATAGCAAGACCCGAAGGGGGAGTCTTGTGTCAAGCCAGACGATTGTTTTCCAGTGATTGGTTTCAGCCCGGTTTTCCAGTCACCGCATGTTTCGAAGGACTGCGCTGGGCACCGTCGGCTTCTACTTCGCAGGCGGACAATTTCGGAACTTCTACCAGGAAGTGGGCACCATGAAGGCACGCAAAGCAGAGCACCATGCATAGAAGGTTTGCTGCTTGCTTCAATGCTGTTACGAGCCATTCACTAGTCTTCAATGGATCCTGTTGCATGTAGGCCAACACAGGGGTCAAGAGGCTCCGGGTCTGTAACCCTGAAACTGGGACTCGGGCAGAGTTCCCTAGCCATAAGGCGCACTTTTAGCTTTTCCGACCAAACTGTCCAGCAGCAACTTCCCATGTTTCAAGGCATTTTGTTTTCAGAAGCAGACTCACAAGTTGAGTAAGTTGTGTGGTGTTGTTGAAACCAAATGAATGAGCGTTGTTTGCCCCGCCCCAAACGGGCTTTGCTTGCAGTTGCACAGATTGTTCAACTAGTGCACACTTCCAAACTCTGGCCTAGTTGTTTTTTGTTTATTATGTTTTCTTGTGTTTTCTCTAAAAGACACATATTTATGTATATTAATATACATTATATAAACATAATCATATACACATGTTTGCGTATATGTATATGCATTATATATGTACTACATATGCGCACATGCACATGTGTTTCATGATTTTAGAGCTCAGGGCTCTTAGAGGTCGTAGGCTAGGCACTTGGATCGTTTTTTGCGCAGGCGCAGATGAATGAGTTCCGGATCCACAAGGCCAAGAGCTGGTGCTGCTGCGCCTCGGGTTTCGGGAGGTGGCCTGGAAACTTGCGTTCGTGGGGTCAAGAGTTTTTGGGGGTCTTGGGCTATGGTGAAACAGTTTAGATGACCTTTGGGTTGCCGTAAGGTGAGGGCCTGTAGCAAAGCTTGACCCCCAAGCCTGGGAGTTTCAGGTTGGGCAAGTTTGTTTAGGCTGCTCAAAGTTGGTTGGGTCGCCCTTGGTGTGGGGTGGGTTAGGTTGGTATGGTTGGTATGGTTGGTGTAGGTTGATGTAGGTTGGCCTGTGCGCGTTGGTGTAGTTTCGATTGGGGATAGATTCGGTTGGTCCAGGTTGGTCAAGGTTTGGGTGAGTTTGGTTCGCGTTGGTATCGGCTGGTCATGATGGATTTGGAGCAGTTTAGATTGGTTCAGGTAGGTTGAGGCTTGCCAAGGAGGGTTTAGCTTGGGGGTTGTCAAGTCTAATTTTTCTTTTGTCACGCTGCTCCAGGTTCTGTCAATGTTGGTTTGAGTTGGTATCAATTAGCTTGGGCAGTTGACAAGGTTGGCTCAGGTTGTTTCAGGCTGGGTTGGTTGGATGAAGGTTGGAGAAGCGTTCACACCAGCCCAACCTTAAAGCCGCCTGAATTGCGCTGGCCCATGACCAGCCAACGCCACGGGGCAAGAGGTTGGTGTATCTCGGCCAAGGTTGGTTTAGGATGTTTGGATTGGTTCAACTTGTTTGGCTCGTGAGGCTATACAAGTGGAACGCCACCACTGCTGGCTTTCTATTCGCAATGCGTTGTCAAAATACAAATATGAGCGATTGTATGTTGCGTAAACGGGTCAGAGGGCGAGGAGGACATCCTTCAAGATAACAGATCCCTATACTCAAACAAGTTTCTACAGTTTGTGTGTGTGCATTGTTTGGTGGACGGTGTTCATCAGACTAGGAACGCGTCGTGCTTGATCGTGTTTGGTCATTTCGAAGGGACTCCATCATGCGGGGGGTGGGGGGGGTGGCGGGGGGTTGGCCACTCTTCAAGGCGGCCGGAAGTCCTTGGGAGTCTTGACGGGCTTTGCCAGACTTCAAGTTGATTCAAACCACTTGCTTCTTTCTTTTTGCAATCATGGGTCATATGACGGGGTGAGATGCAAGGGTGTAACTCTCAGATACATTCAGATACATAATGTGAGATCTTTTCCGAAACCCGTGGATATTTCGCGTCATTGCCATTTTGGGGTCAACGCAGCTCCCCTGCCCGAGGTTCTAGCCATGTGGATGCCAACGGCAAAGCGATGCTGTGTGACCGAGTCATCGCTGCTCGGGCTGCTGGAAAGTAGTTTCAGGGAGTGTCTTCAGGCCTGTAGGGGACAGCTTTGTTTCCCAATTTGGTCACTAACTCAGTTCGCCCCAATTCAAAGTAAGTTTCCTGTTGGTGGGGCGATGGTTGAAGGAGGAATGCTGGGAACCCTGTCTGCAGTCACACTCCCAGGGCAGGGACAATGGGGCTGCACCTTGAATAGAAGTGCCTCAAGAGTGGTTGCAACCCCCACTTACCAATCGGGGCTGGCGCATTTAGCCCATCCAGAAGAGTTTGAGAGTTACCAGGGCTGAGGGGCGCTTGTTGTTCTCTTCTCTCAGTTTGCCAGCTATACTGTCGTTTCTCAAAAACAAAGACTATTGACTGCAAATGTGTTTTTCCGGTCGGAATATTTGTTCTGAGCATGTGTACGCCTTGCCCCATTGATTAATTATTCATCACCCAACCTTGGTTGTTAGAGCTAGGACCCGATCACTTGCCGCATGGAAATCATCCTGTCGACCTTTTGCAACCCAAAGGACTATCACCAGCATGTATCGCCCCGGCTCTTCGAACACAAATGAAATTATGCCAAAGATGAAGTCCGTGATTCTGCTTCCTGAACGTAGACTTCGCCTTGACTAACTTGAGAAAATCAACTGCGGCAACCCTGCCAAAAAGACTCCGCTTTTCAACTAGTTGCAGTTTGCCCAAGGAATTTGTAGCTCCCCCCCAGCCTCCGCAAGCGCCCTCTCGTACGCCTCTGAGTTTTCAGGAGTGCTAGCTGGGCATCTGGGAGAGAAATTCACGTGTTTTGCCCACCTGTGAGTTTAAACGTGTTGGCTCTTCGGGTTATGATTGGGAGCTCGAAGCGCTTGCCGAGCTCGCATTCTGAGACGGAGCGAACTTCCCGAGCTCAGGTCACGGAGTGTATTGTCGCCTGGTTCGGCTCAGAGAAGCAGTTCGAGGAGGCCGTGCAATCTAAGGCGCGCGGCTCGACTCGAGCGAACGAGGGAGTTGTGCGTCAAGCAGGCTTGCACGCGTGTTGGTTTGTGATCAACCACTTAAAACGCGCGAGAGAATGGAATAAATGTTGATTGGTTTCCAATTATGGGGCGGAGGGCTGGGAAGAGCTGGCCTCAAAACCGGTGTGATTCTTTCACATCCTGTGCAAGCAGTGAATGAGCATCTTAGGATCACGGAACCCTATTTTCCGGGCGCCAAGATGTTGTACTATGCGCAAGGTGTATCATGATGAGTGGCTTGCTTATCAATTCAAAAGCTGTGCCTGTTCAAAAGGCCTGACAGTCGCAACACATACCCGGGTCAGGGTGGTTGGTCTGAACTTGAAGGAGCAAGGCAAAATGGATCATGCATCATGGTCACCTAGATTGTCTTTGAAGACCGTCTAATGGTTGTCACACAGTTGCTTGACAGAACCCCTTTTTCCACAGGTCTTGAAGGCATCCTTTATTTCGTGAACCCACGAGGATACGAACAACGGCTGGTTATCACATTCCCACGAATTGATAGTCCCAACCTCCTCATGACACCATTCAAGAGCCTGGTGCTGACAGCGGACGAGGCGAGGCAATTGGCACCCGGCGGAGCACAGACGTTGCAGAGGATTGCCCATTTATCGAGTTTCTTTGGGGACGGGGGCAAACAGGAAGACATATTCAACGCCTGTGGCCGTGCACCGGCTACGCCTCAACATTACAGGGGGCGGTTAGAAGCAATTGGAAGCTTTCAAGGAGGTTCGCAGCCATCCGGATCCTTAGGTTGAAAGAGCTTTTCCGGGTTGAGTGGTAGTTTCCATTTAGCCGCCCATGTCGACTTCTGAATAACCATTGGCGACCGATTCGGGAGAGCGAACACCCGCGAGAAAGGTTTTGGAATGAGTCAAGTATTTGCAGATTAACAGAACACCCCAACTTATTCTTCCGGGGGTCTCTTTTATGATAGGCTGATTCCAAGAGGGTAATTACGCCTAACACGGTGAAGTTGGACGTTGGAGATGTTGATCGTGTCCAACATTTGCCGAAGCCAAGGACCCACGTCACTCGTATCCAACCACTAAACCACTGAGAAAACTTATTGCATCTTATTGCCCCTCGTCTTAGTATAGTTTAGCACAAATGAATATAAACATAAATAGCAGTTTTTTATTGTCCCTTCTGTAAAGGACCTTCAAGCACGCGTATCTGAGCTAGTCAAGGAACGCAGCCCCGTTCCACAAGTGTCTGAAATGAGAAATGGTTTATACTTGCTTGATTTGGTTTCTGTTTGGTCTTCCTTTTGGTTTCCCTTCTTTTATCCTTCAAAAAGTGGTGTTTGGTATTGAACTCGGTTGGTATTGTAGGGGTACCTTCTCCAGAAACCCAGGGAAAACGGCCGGCCGGTTTTTGGAAAGAACTATATGGTTGAAAGGAATGGAAAAGGAATCAAGCCCCAGAGGTACGGGTGTGTTCTATGTTATTGTGCTTCGCGACATTCGGCTGCAAGTTGCAGGTGATGAACTTGGTGGCGCAGCGGCTCGAGGGCAGGAGGGCCTTCCCCTACCTCTGGCTGGTTGGTGCTTTCGCGCCCATCGCCTGGGGGAGCCTTGGAGGATGCCGTGTCGTTTCCAGAAGTTCCTGTGCCTGTGCTTTTTGGTAGGACGGAGCTTTTTGCAATGAGACGTGGCCCCAATTTGGCTGAGTATGCACTTAAATATATAGATAACTCGTTCAATCGGCTAAAAAAGCATGTTGTGTTCATCCACGAAGGCCGCATCAAACCTCTCCCCCCACTCGGAGATTTGGAGAAACTGGAAAGCGGAGAGCCGCCGCAAGAGCGGCATTGATCAAATTGAGCGTTCAGAATCGGGACCAAGCGCTGTCACAGGGATGCATATCCCACTAACTAACACAATCCGGATGTGCTCACCCCTAAAACTTGTGTGCGTGTGCGTGTGTTCCCTGCCCTTTTTCCCGAAAGCTTCGCACAGAATGATTCCGCTGGATTCTCTTGCAATGGCTTACGTAGAGCACTCACATAGAGAGCTTTCATAGAGAGCTTGATCAGAGAACTCACTCAGAGAAACTTGTTTAAAACAACTTGCTCACAGCACTTGCTCAGAGAAACTTGCTTAGAGAACTTGCTCGGAGAAACTTGCTCAAATAACTTGTTCAGAGAACTTACTCAGAGAAGCTTGCTCAGAGAAACTTGCTCAGAGAACTTGCTCAAAGACCTTGCTCGGAAAACTTGCCCAGAAAACTTGCCTTTGGGGATAGAATGTGATCAGATTTGATCAGAGAAAGCAGTTCGAGTTCGCAGAGAGTCTGTGTCACACAACCAACAAGTTTTTCCAACTCGAACTCTAGAAGATGAAGCGATATTTCGTTCTAAGGTTGATTACTTATTGTTATTTGTTCTTTTGTTTATTGTGTGATTTATTTATTCCTGTTTAATATGCACTAGTATTGAGAATTCTCGAGCGTTCGCGGCCACGCAATATGGTCCCGTTCTTGTGGGGTCAAACTTATTTCAGTCGAACATCATGACGGCTGCTTCTTTCAAAAGTGGGGCGTGGTTTGGAGACTGGAGGGGGGATGAACTGAACCATAGGACATTTTTTTGAACAAGGGTCTTCAAGAGTCCATGGCCTCGATACTTATGGATTCGGGCGGTTGGCTCGACTGTGACAAAAAGAACATTAGCGATGAAGCCAATACAGCCGACACTCTAACTCTTTACCTTTCCCGTCTTGATCTCCATGGAGCTTGCGCCCAGGATAATGGACGGCGTGGCCAGCCAGGCTCGCGCTGGAAATGTCGAGCAGGCCGTGTTCTTTACCGTCAACGGAGTGACCCAATCGAATTGCAGAACTCGAGCGCGTGCTGGTGCGTTTGGTTGTACTTGCTTTGTTGCAGGCTGAAATCAAACCTAAATTGAACCTAGTCATCCCAACCTCAATCCAACGGAGGCAGCTGTTCTTGCCAAGATTCAGTTCTTCGTTCTAGCAGTACCTGGAGATTCATTTGGAGGGCCATTTACTTTAGGTTTTTTCCCCGTTTTTTTTTTTTTTTTTTTGTTTTGTTTTCACGGTGGGTGGCTTTTCGGCTTTTTGGCTGTTGTGACTTTTTCGGCGGTTTACGTGGCTTTTGTGGCTTTTCATTTCGCATCCTTTGCATTCACAGTTCCTCTCTGCTTGGCTTTTGGCTTTTCGCATCCGCTGCATTACCAGTTCCTCTCCGGCAGGTGGCTTTTTGGCTTTGTGGCTTTTGGCGGCTTTCTGGCTGTGGCTTTTCGCATCCTCTGCTTTCCCAGACCTTGGCTTCCTGCATCCTCAGCATCGCCAATTCCTCTCTGGTCCGCGTTCGATTAGAATGCACCCCAACGTCCCCGCTCCTTTTTAGAGTGTTTGCCTCTAATTGAATCATCACTTGTTCGATCATCATGCGGCAACCCTGTTTAGATTTCTTGCAGAGATTTAATTGCACCCCTATTTGAATCATCACTTTTTCGAGCATCCAATTTCGCGAGAAAATGCTAAAATTCCACATTTTACGTAATCGATGTAATCTATGTATGTCTGTATGTATGCGCTTGATCAACCATCATAATGGAAGCCACCCCCGCCAACCCTCCCGCTGCTTTTTGTATTCTATCGCACCCTTTCTTGAATCATTGCACCCCTATTTGAATCATCACTTCTTCAGACATCATGGCGCGGGCTGCTGCCGCTATTGAACCACCATTTGTTTGATCATCATGGGGAGGGGCCCCCCCCCCCCCAACCCCCCCGCTACTTTTTAGATTGTTTGCCCCTAATTGAATCATCACTTTTTCGATCATCATGGGGCTGCCCCCCCCCCGCGGCTACTTTTTAGATGTTTTACAGGGATTAGGATGTAGGAGGCCCTGAGTTTGCTGGTGATGCTGGGGATGTTGGCGGGACATGCGGGGGATGTTGAAAACGATGCTGATGATGTTGACGGGCATGTACATTTCGTGAGAAAATGCTGTAGTTACTAGCCAAGACGGAAAACAAAAAACAAAACCCAAAATAAAACAAAGCAGTTCCCAAATTAAATCTCGACCGGATTCATTTGCAAGTTGCTACATTTCATGTTTGGGCACTCTAGATAATTCAAAGCCTTCATTTTTGATCAGTTCAGTAAGAGCCAAAAAGTCATCGAATATGTGTTGGGCCATTCGAAGGGCAGACGAGTAATGGCTCGCTTGCTGAAAGCAGTGTGAATTTGTGGTTGTGCCTGTTTAAAACACGAAATGAGTACATGTTCAGTCTGTGGTTTCAAATAGCTTGGAAAGCTGCATGTGGTTGGACCACAGCAGGGACTGGCGGAGGGAGGTGCGGCCCACACAAACTTGGGTTGGCAAAGACACAGCTTGCCCCAAAACTGCATGGTGGTTGGTCTCCCTCTTGCCTTCAAAAGAGGCTGGAGCAGACCCATAAGAGCTACAGGGCGCGTTTTCCGGTGGGGCGAAGGTCGGCCTTAAAGTGAACCCCGGCGAACTCGATCCTAAGATGCCTCCGGCGGCTGCGAAAACAGGGATTTGCACAGCTTCAGCGCTTCACGTCTTCTCTTGGGCTCCGAATCGTGAGCAACACGGGGATTGAGCATGAACCTCTCCCATGTCGTGTAGATGTGAAGTCAAATGACTTGAGGTTGGGATGGCTTCCCTTGGCTTTCGGTAATTTGTTTATATTGCTCCCTGTAGGTTTCAGAGGGATCTTGTACTGGAAAACATGTTACTTTTGAGTGACGCCTCAAAGCCAAAGATGATTGCGGAGCTTTTGGGGCTAGACATCAGCACCTCTTGGAGCTAGACATCAGTAGGTTCAGGGAAACAAAAGCAACCCTCTTGGAGTAAAACCGCCCATACATATATATATATATGAGATAGTCGCAATAAAATTACGTGCGTGTGTGTGTATATATATATATATATATAGATTATCCATGTTGCTGGTGCCCAAACTTGACGCAAACTATTCGATGATCATACATATTGATTGTAAAACAGTGCCTAGCTTCGATGATGCCGCGCAATCCCTTATTAATCAGATGCGGTTTTGACTTCCAAAGTTGGCACCTCCCTGAAGAAAGGCACGTTGTTCCGCGAATTTCGACTTAGATCTGCCAAAAATGGTAGCCTGAAAACAGGATTGTCAAAGGAAGCCTCTTGCGGCCTTCGGACGTAAGGTCCTGTGGTGGCTGTGCAACATGCCCTGCTTGTTTGCCTTCTGGATGACCTTGATTCAGAGATGCTTGGCAACGGAATCGAGAAAGTTGCATCGTTGTGTGTATATTGTGAACTTCATGTTTTGTTCCTTTGTTTGGTGTTCCTTTGACGTCGTTTGTGTTCATCGTGCGCGCGTCTTGGCTTTTCTTTTGTGTGTGTGTGTGTGCGTTTGTTGAAATGTTTGAATTGGTTTTTGTTTTTGTTTTTCCGGGTATTGACTGTTTTCATGCTGGGGAGACCGAACACAAAGCAGCACAACTACTTGTTGCTTGTGCTTGCTTGAACGTTACTGCCAATATCAATATGCAACGTTGCCCCAGTGGTGTTCCGTGTTCCTAATGGCACCCTGACTTTTTGGTTTTGTTCTGTTGCGGTGTTCTTTAGGTTTCCCACTGGAGACCTGGTTGTGGCAGTCGGGGTTTCGGGCCATTTCTGTGACACCAAGGAAACCAAAGTGATAGGCCTTGGACATGGGAATCCCACTTTGGTATCACACAGTTCGGCTAGATTTTCCGCAACCAGTGAGCAGGGAGATCACGCAGCCGAGGATGCCACCAGAAATGCGATGCGAAGCTCAGCTATCCAAATGGCCTGCCATCCCTGAAAGATGTTTGAATATTAAGTGTGTGCACTTATTGCATAGAGCAGGATATGATATGATATGTCACACTGTATCCCATAACAGCTTAGCACAACAAGAACATTAAATGACGTAAGGTAGCTTATCAGAACAACATACAAGACACTATACTAGTTTGCAACAGCTGAGTACCATTTGTTATAGCATGTAGTATGACACAACATATACTAGACGTCATATATGTAGACATATATATATATATATAGATATTGTAGCCCCCAACCCCCCTGGTGCCCCCGCTTCTCTGTGTTTTTGGCCAAACATGGGCACCAAATAAGGGGGTGTGCCATAATTCTTAATAGCGGTTTTAAGGTTACTTAGCACTGTCACGCAGTTTCCTTACTACCCGGCAGTAAGGCATCTGGATCCAAGATATAAGATAGCTGGGGGACTTTTGGGGGAAATCTTGGATCCATGAATGCCCTTCCGCCTTGATACCGGTATTAAGGTTTCTCAGTACTGCCATGCAGTTTCCTTAATACCCGGTATTGGGGAATCTGAATCCAAGATCTGAGAGCCAAGATGGGGGCATCTGATGGAAATCTTGGATCCTTGAATCCCCCCCTTGAACCCTGAATGCCTGTATTAAGGTTTCTTAGAACTGTATTTTGTTTACTTAATACCGGGCATTAAGGAATCTGGACCCAAGATCCAAGTGCTGTCGGACTCTTGGGGGAAAGCTTGGATCCACGAATGGCCCGCCCGGAAACCTTAATACCGGCATTAACATTCTTAGTACTGTCATGCAGTTTCGGTAATGCCCTTGCATTAGGAGGCATGAAGGGGGTGATCACAGCGTGGCCGCGCGCGCGCACGCGCAAAGTCATGTTAGTATGGTATGGTGATTGTGTAGCAACCACAGTGGCCACGTGGTGCCCTGCCTCGAAACAATTTGTTTGCGTCCCACGCCCCTTTTTCTGGTGTCAATTTTTTGAGAAAGCTTTCCTGGGCAATATTGAATCTTGCTTGTTCTGTCAAAAAAGCGGCTAATCTTGCCGACAACAGAACAGTTCAAGGAGTACCCATGTTTTCTTGTGTTGGTCCAGATTCTATGATTTCCTGAGGCTTCTAGCATGTGTACATGTTGATACATGTTTTCTTGGAATGCTTTTTCTTGGAGTTGTGCAATGGGATTCCTCTCTGTCCAAAGCTTATGAAATGGACATGATCGACTGCAAGTCTGCGTGTCTCTGCTTAAGTCTGCTGACAAAAGGAGTTTAACCACTACAGCCTGTCTGTTCAGCAAAAGCAAGACGGTGCTCCTACTGCAAAACCATCAAAACTACACTGCCTGCGTGCTCAAATCAAGCAAACGGGGGGCACCGCGGGGGGGGGGGGGGGTAGCATAGGTATCTTTAAAATATCTACATACACATATATACATATATATATATATCTACATATGTGTACGCATGTCTTTCCACAACGTGTTCTTCCTAACATCACACGTCAATACATATATACATATATACATATATATATATATATACATGTTCACACTTCATCATCATCTACTGCAAGGCACAGAAGCTATGGATTGAGATCCTGCCAAATGCTTCGTAGGCGTGGATGGGTGATGGGTTCCCAAGGCCTTCTGACCAGAAAAGGTGCGCCCAACAGCAAAGTGCCCCATCCTTGGGGACGTTTAACAAGTCTAAGCTCCGTGCTAAATGCTGATGACCATTCTGCAGCGATGGGTTTGTTTGGCGCCCAAGCGGGTCGCAGCGACAAATCAACCGCTCCCCGGTTTCGAGGTTTCGAAGCTGGTGCCAAACGGGGGGGGGGGCTCTAGCCCTTATTTGGGGTGGGTCTTCCCTTTGACATCAGCTAAACCTGGCTAAGCCGTTTTTTGCCCATGGAGTCTCAGCAGGAAGCTCAACCGTCAACAGTCCCTGGCTTTGGTTTGGAGCATGCTCAGGGCATCCGTTTAAACGCAGGCAGCTCAGCCACAGGATCCCTATGGTCTTGGATGTTTGTGGTGGTTTCCTTTTTTTGTCTGAGGCATCCAAGTTGGTTCGTAAAGCAGGAGTCTTCCAAAGTCTGGCTTCATTTTGTTTCCATGTTTCAGTGTTCCAAAAAGTAGCTTCCTTTCAGACATGTTAGCTTGTTCCATGGAGCTACCCCTAGGAGAAAACGGTTCTGAGCCGAGGAAGTGGAAGGAGGTACTCTTGAATCTGGTGATCATGTGGGCAATGTCGATACTCTTTGTGGCCACCTTCGGCCTGACCAGAGGTTTGTCCGCTTTGGTGGGGGACAGGCTTCTGGGGCAGTGCATCTCTCTGGCGCCTCGGACAGGGAGTGACCAAAAATTGCCACTTCGAACATGGCCCACCCAAATTTGCGCCGGCACTTTTCTCACAAACCTGCGCATCCTCGGATTCTCGTCGTTGTTGAAGCTTCTCCGCCTATGGTTTCTCCCGCTTTCCGAGGTCTTCCGAACTTGTCCCACTTGGTTTTGCCGAGCTTCCTCGCTTCTCCGACTTGTTGTTCCTTTTTGTAAGACCAGTCGTTTCGCTTTTTTTCCCGAGCTTTTCCAGTCACGTTCCAAGTTTGTCACCAGCAGTCTTTCCAAGTTTTCCCGGATCTTCCGCTCAGTTAGTTCCCGCTTCCGCGAGTTGCTCCCGCTTCTTCATGTTCTCCGGCAAGTTTTTCCGAGTTTGCCGGCCAGTGGTTTGCCCCCCCCAATTTGTTCACCAGTTGTTCCGAGCGCTCTCGGCCAGTTTGAGCTTACAGTTTGCTCGGCGCTCTGTCTATTGCCACGCCTTAGTTGGTGCAGTGATGTTTGGGGGCTCACGTTGCTATCTCAACGGTTTTATTTGCCAACGCCTTGGCCACGACCGCACCCGGCAGCAACCCCGCGAGCCTTTCTGGAGCCCTAGTCCGGAGCTGCTAACCCAAGCCTTCAGTCTGTGTGATTTCGATCCTCCCACCCTACATGTCCTCAAGCGCCTCGGGGTGAGCAAAGCTTGCGCACTGGCAGCCAAGGGGCTGATGGCCATCGTGACGGCGCTCACCTTCTGCAGCTGCAGGAAGCAGCCCGCCGCCGCGTCGCCACACCACACGCCGCACCACATTATCCCAAGCAAGATCGTCCCCAGCGATTTTTGAGCGAAGCCCGGGGACCGGTGTGAACCATTGCGGAACCTGCCAGGGTCCGAAGCCCGGGATTGGATCAAGAAGCTTGGTTTGCGACCTCAAGACTCCTTTTAGTTTCAAGAAAAAACCAGCCACTTACCGGAGGCCACCTCAGGCAGAGGGCCACAACAATCAAGTCAAGCACGGACCGGGGGGGGGTTCACGGGGCGGGGGAGTGACCTGAGCGATGATCATCACAAAGGTTCCTTTCATAGGAGCTGGAAGTAGATCGCACGGAATGCCACTGAGTGGTTTGCCGTGCTATCCCCAATTGAACTGTTGATTTAGGACCTATCTCAGATTGGTTGCCGTTTCTGGCCATCTTTGTTTATAGCTGTAGATGGCCGAGGCACTTTCTCTTGTCGAGTCGGTTGCCGGCGAAGCTGTCCGACCGGCCGCAAGTGCGCAGAGTTGGTGCTGCGCAACACGCAGCAGTGCCTTCGTGCCAATGTGGCAAATGGAAGCAGTCCCGGATGGACGCTCTTTGCTCACTGATGCAAGCTGGTGATGAGAAGAACTTACTTAAGACTGATCAGCCGCGATGCCTGCAACCTGAGTTTTACAAAGTTCCCTTTTATTTAAGCAAAGTACAGTGCAAAGCTCCAGCAGAGAGCTGCGAGGAGTTTAAAATCCTGGGTGGTGCTGCCGGTTTTGGCCAACACCTTCTGCGTGGTGCAAGAAGGCGTTGCAATCAATCTTTGTCCATTCACACAGGCCTACAGTTTGTGCCAGACTTACACAAGCAGTAGCCACGCTGCGTGTCCCATGCCAAGGTGTTCGTAGCCAGGTGCGGCCCCCGCTTGGCACGAGTTGAATCTGTGAGCCGCGTAGCTTTTACGTTGGCGGCGCGTTTTGTCCAACGCCTACGGTGCCAAAGGCCCCGTGGCCTAGGAGCTCGGAGCCGGCAGTTTGGAAGTTCGCAGAAACGAAGTACCAGGGTTTATCTCAAATGTCCTCCAAGATGATCCAAGATGGTTTTACCTAAACTATCCGCAAAAGGGGTATCCAAAAAAAAAAAACGATCAACACCTGTGATGAGGCAAAGGACGCCCGCCATTGGAGTTTGCTCCGGCTTTTCCCTGGAATGGGTAGGGAAATTGAGGATGTTTGGATGGCTTTTTTTACAGCAGAAGTCACAGGGTTTTGCGACCAACTCCTGGGGTGCAGCCAAGGGTGTTTCATGTGTCCTGTTGACCTGGGCCAAGCTTGGTCCCACTCGTTTTGGCCAATAAGTGTTCTGATTTGCTTGGTTGAACATGGCGCGCTCCACTGGTCTCCGTGTGGTTCTGAAATCATTCTTCTTTTCTCAACAGCTTATAATATAATCATTTTTTGTTATAAATATTTATGTTTTCAATTTCTTTGATATGGTTGATGATTTTCATATATAAATATATATATATTTGATAACGAATTATATATAATTTAGATATGTATTTCTAATTTATTAATAATATTTCTTCTTTTTTAATATATTTTTTATTATAAAAAATATTAATGAATTATTATTATTTAATATATTTAATTAAATATAATTTTGTATTATAATATAATAAAATTTGGAATATAATAAACATAAAATATATATAAATAAAAATTAATGTGATTATAATATATTATTTTATAATATATATATATTATTAATTGTTAGTAAAATCTTTTATTTGATATAATTTATGGAGTTGTTAAATATAATATAAATAATAGTATTTAAATATTTATAATTTATCGATAATTAAATATATATATATATAATTAATATTTTATTATTAATTTTATTGGTATATAAAAGTATTTTTGCTTAATATAAATTTATTGGGTATAAATATAAATTATGTCTAATATATAATAAACAAATATATTTTAGATTTAATATATAAAATTAATATTTTTATTAATATATATTTTTTTTTGTTACTTATATTATCCTATAATCTTTTAAACGAATTCTTATAGAATTTTATTTTAAACCCGCTCTAAATCCCCGAAAGTTATCTAAATCAAAATTTAAAGTCGCTCTAAACCCCCGAAATTTATCTAAATTAAAATTCCAAAATATATAATTCTATTAATATATTATATTATTTTTAGTATTTGTATTATTCTATTTATAAATCTTAATTATATTTAAAAAAAAATAAAGAATACTCCTAGACATAAATAATTATAAATTCCTTTCTAATTCTTTATATTAGTTTTAAATCGATTAATTTACTCCAATTCCATATATATACTATCATATTTTTAAATATATGTTTATATTTAAATAATTAAAAATAAATATATTGATATAATAATAATAATTATATTTGTATATTAATACATATATATGTTTATAGGATAATAATGCAAATATATATATATATGTTTAAAATGAAAATTTATCAATTATATTAATTATTATAGTTATATAATAGTAATATATATATATATATTTAAGAATATATATGTTATATCCTAAATTATAGATTATATTTATTCATTGGAAACTAATATTTGAATATATCGATAATAGATATATTATTTGTTTATGAATATAAATTTAAGAATCCAATTTAATATTTTTAAATAACGATATTTATATAATATGTTTCGATTTCTTTAAATATATATCTATTTTCTGTATTATAATAAGTGTTCGATTATGAATAATTTAAATTATATTGATTGATGTTTTTCTTTAAATTATTTTGTATATATTAAAATAATATCGAATTATTATAATTTCTTTTAATTTAATATATATATATATTTCAATATAGAATTTTACTAAAATAATATATTCCAAATCTATATATTAAATATATATATATATATTATTTGAATTTAATTAATTTAATATTATTATATTAATATAATTTATGTGTTTTCCTGTTTTAATATATATTTTATTTTATATATAAATTAATTAAATCAAAGAATATAGCAGAGCATATTCCAATTAATAATTGAAGACAGATATATACGAATATATTCATAGAGAAAGAAATAGGTAGATAAATCGAGCAAGTGATTAACGAAAAATGATTTCAGTATATTTCGGGAAATTAAGCCTTATGAAAAATGAAATCATTATATCTTCCGAATATAGGGCTGGGGTAGCTCGGCCAGATTTGGGTAAGTGGTCCGTAGGTTATATAAGGCGGCTGTGTCTTCTAGGGGCAGCCCGGACCAATTTTCCGAAATATCCGGGATTTTCGATTTTTATCATAAAACAATATATTGGTTCTACAAGATTTGTTTTGTTTTTAATATATCCAGCACGGCCTGGGCCTTGGCCCCTGAGAGTTCCATCAAATTTTCCAGATGTTATTTGAACGTTAGACGAGCCTTTTCACAAATCCGCATCAGGCACGAAAAGCGTCGGCGGAGTTGGACGCAAAATTGCGTGCACCTTGCCGAATTACGAAAGTTAATCCGGCGGGCTATTGCCTTAGCCGATTTATAAAGGCAAATTATTTTTGGACGAAATATTTCTATAATTCCATAATATAATTAGTGATGCATATTCATATATAACAAATAATTCCTTATTTCCTAAATTATTTATTGGTTTTCATGGGCTTATTAATTTGACCCAAACAATAATTCAAACCTTTATCTATTTACTCTATAAAACGAAATCGTAACACTCGATCGTCGCATTTGCGCGCGTTTTCCCGGACAGATTTTCCGAAAACAATTCCAAAATTATTCTCATACAAAAAATATACCGTGTTCCAAGCTTAAATCACGAGATACATTGAGTACCGGACTGGTCGCTCTCAAATACGTCTAAACAATGATTTCGCTAAGAGCGACCCGATAAAGTCACACTAAAGACCAACCACGGGCACAAAGATATGATGCACACTCATCGGAAGCGCGTGGTACGATCTCCCAATTGTTGGTTCGGATTGGAGTTTTGGAGGTTAGGAGGTAATTTCCCATTTAATTTCAATATGAGCCAGGGGTTCAATCCATTAATCCAAATCAACAAATCCATTAATCCAAATCTATTATTCCAAATTAAGGCGGATGTTAAAAAAGGAAAAATAATCAGAAGAAAGAGTTCCAATATATTCTAACCAATCCAAAAATAACCTACAAACCGAGCCCAGAACGTCCGCAAAGACGCGATATCACGAAGCTTTACACACTCTTCCCAATTCATCATATAAGTCGACCTCTCAGGGGCCAAGGTTTAGGCCGTGGGGATGTATGAGGAACAGAACAAATCTTATAGAGCCCGCATTAACAAGATATCTTTTATATGGGATTTACATGCCATTCTCCAAACATAGATCGCGAAATACACTGAGGTCCGGGCTAATCGCTCTTAGATACCATAAAAAAACAGAGGTCTATGTCGCTAAGGACTGCCCGATAAAATCATGTCAAAGACTAGTCACGGACATAAAGACATAATATACACTTATCGGCAAGGAAAACGCGTGGCACGATCTCTGAATTATTGAATTCAAATTGGGTTTTAGATTAGGGCACGATTTCCCATTTAATTTTAATATTATCCAAGGATTTAACTCCCAAATCACCAAGGCAAACCAACAATTAGGATTAATTGAGATGGGTACCAAAAGAAGATAACAATTATGAGAAAAAAATCCTATATATACCAATTTATTAAGAATAACCCATAAACCGAGACCAGAGCGTCCGCAAAGACGCGATATCACGAAGCTTCATGCACTCTTCCCAAAACATCGTATGAACCGAATTCTCAAGGACCAAGAACAGACCAAATCTTGTAGAACCCGCACTAACAAGACATATTTTGTAACTCAAACACCAATATATTTTATTATATATACCAAAAAGGACACATTTTTCATATGCGAAAAATGACGTTCTCCAAACACAACTTGTAAGATACACTGAGCGCCGGGCTGGTCGCGATAAGATCATGCCAAAATTAGTGAAAGGCCATCGTCTAAGCAAAATAAAAATGGATCGTTGGTCTCAAAAAATCCATCTAATATACAATTAAGAAAACCGCCATGTGTCGCAACAATCGGCCGCGATTCACAGCTTCTCGCAAATTCTCGCAAAATAAGCACACGATTTCTGCAAAAATGGCTGAAATATTCAGAATATTGCGAGAACCATATTTTTTCCCCAAAATTTTGTTCAACATTTCAAAAATATCCGCATAATTTTATAATATATCAATAATTCAATATTATAAATTATAATCTTTAAATAATTAATATATTCATTTATATAATTTGTAATTTATTTATTTCTTAGAAAATATTTAATTAAATATAAAATATTTATATAATCTAAATTATAATTATATTATTATTTAAAGAATTATATATTATATTATTTATAATATTATATATAAACAAAATATATCATATTATTTTAATTCCAAATCAATTATATCAAATATAAAATAACATCCATACATTATAATTCAAATTACAAAATCAAATAATCTTTCTTTCCAAAATCAAAATAAACCCCACACATTTACATAAATATCATTATTAGCAACCATATTTCTGCCAACAATATATATATATATATATATTTGTATAAAATTCGATTCATAAAATTAAAATTAATATAATTCCATTCCAATCAAATAAAAATATAACACCCGCACCAAAAAAATATTTAAATACAATAATAACAAAAACCTATAAAAGAACCAATAAATAACCAATAACCTATATCTTGCCTTTTGTAAAAACATTCAGCACCATATATCAATAATAATACTAAATTCAATATCATATGATATCATATATCAGTAAAATCTGATTTTCGTCAAAATAATTGGTAAATTCAGGATACTGCATGAATTAGTGCCCGATCTACTTCTTCACCTCGGCTACTATCACCCCGCCATCGCAACTGGGTCTGAGTCTCGTTCTCGGCACCTTTTCACGCAATCCCCATGGATACTCCCACCCATCCGCGTCAGCTGTTGCGCCCAAACAAAGGTGGGTTGCTTGGTTGGCGTTGGTTTACTCAAGATTCACAAAATATGGGCCACGGTCAAATCGACTATGCTAAGTTCACAAAGTATAAACAAATAGAATCGAAAGGACTTGGGGCCCCTTGACAACCGCTGGGGTTCCTGGCCTCCATGGTGAACCTTGAACCCATCTAAACAAACACATACAAAGAAACAACCAACAAACCAACCAGGTTGGCATAATTCACCATGGACCTTTGCGCGAGCCACTTAGGGTGGCACCAGCGCTTGGCCGATGGGCTGACCTAAGGGATGACAAGATGTGTGGGCAAAACCTGGGTATAAAACAGTTAGAGTCTGGAAACAATGAATATATACATATCTATGTTTTTATGGTTGTGGTAGTTCATTGGGGGGTGAGCATGTATATAATCGCTTCTCCCCAATAAAAAAACCGTCCCCCCCCGCCCAAATACAAAGCCTGCAAAAATTATTATTAGGGGTCGCCGGTTTGGGCCTAGATCCAATTGATAGTTTGCTGTTTAGAATGGGACTTGCATTAGAAAGTGCATCTCCTTTCATTTGGAGCAAAACTGCTCAGATTGCAACTTTTAAGTAAGAAATTCGAAAGGGAGTGTCCCATGGATGCACTTGAGCGGGTGCGTTTCGTTGCTACAGTGCCAGGTGTGAGTGCGCAGTCGAAAGTGCTTACCATTTGGCACAAGGCAACCCTGGGTGTCAAATAAAACGAGGAGCCTTCTTGCTTCAACACACTCTGGAGGGGGGACCCCTAATAAGCATACTTTGGGAGCTTGGTGGAAAGCATGTGTATATATATATATATATGCGTATACATATATATATATATATATATACACGTATATATATATATATATAGAAATTTATACATATATACATGTGTGTTTCCTGTTGTTTTCCTTTAGGAGATATTCACATGACCACTACCACTGGATTTAGCCAAAATCATGTGAAGCTTGGATCCAAAAATCCTGAGTGGCAGGGTGCTCCGGGAAAATCCAAGTTGACCCAAAAAAAGTTGCCCATGTCAAGGATCAAACAGGAGGGTGTTCGACACCTCTTGGGATGGTGCCCAGCTGGCCGTGTCCAATGCAGTTGGACCCTAGGTGTTTGTCTGAGAATCAACGGACGAAAAAGGGCTAGCAAGGCTTCACAGGTGCCGTTTACAGGCAAACACACACACACACACAAGCCTGCAACAAACCACCTGCAGCTGCGCACGTCATGTGTCCCCCAAAGCCGTGGGTATACATGACATAAATATAGCGGAATCGCATTGAACACGTTGGCATACAACGTCACGAACGTTCCCAGCACAAGCCAGGCAGTGCGAATAATCCAGTCATGGACAGTGTTGTCTCGGAACTCATGGCTACTGGAATGCACTCAGAGACAGCATGATGTCCGCAAAACTGAAGCCGTCTCCAAGGATACATGTCCAAAACATGCAAGCCCCTGCAAGGCTCATGTGTTGACCACTCTCCTTTGACAGCATCAGCGCGTCTGCCTTGCATTCTCCTGCCTTTTGGTTGGTAATTAAAGGGAAGCAAACAAGGAGACCAGCCATTCTTGGGGGACCCATGAAGCCCATAAACACCTAGGCCCTGTAGGCAAGGGCACTGAGGACATGACAAGGCCTTGTGACGCCGCCAAACCTGCAAGCTTGCAGCGAAACAGCTTTGGTTTTTCTGGAACACGCTTATTGCAATCTTGGACATGATGGAATTGTGACGTGGCCATTCCCTCCTTCTTGGAAGCCTCGTAGGCTTTAGGAACAGCTTACCATTCTTTTCATCTTGGTTTAGAGGAAGCAGCCCTTTTGAGCCGCAAACCAATTTGTTGACGCCGCATTCGATCGGCAAAGGAAAGAACCTCACCTACCTGAATGGGACCTGAGCAGCGCAGCCAAAACCGATTTTCAACAGAGGCAATTTTAGAAGGTGGCTCGGTAAGGCCTATTTAAACCTTGAACACGCCAGCCAATAGAATCAACGGTCAGTGGGCATTGGCCTCTGCTCAGAAGAGAAGGCTATGTAGATTCTTTGAGGGTTCTACTTGCTTGTATTACTGGTTGGTGAATGATTGCAATCCCTTACCTTGTTCCGGTTGGGGATGAACAAAATGTCACCCACACCAAGAATGTATCCCCAAAAGAGTTCCAGTTCTTGTTCTATCGGACGTGTCACGTGTAAGGGAGACTTGTCAACCCGAAAGGTCGACCTGTTGTGTTCTGATTTCAACCTGCCAGCGAGTTATGTGGCATGTCATGGGTGCGGAAAGTTGGGTGTCGGAGTGATTTTCTGTACCAGGGACTCCCAGTAAAGTGATCAAGCAGCTGCTGGCATGGTCAATTTGGTATCGCAGAAGGGGCAATTTCCCACAACTATGTGCCGCTGGTACTGAAGGGATCAAACACCTCAAGAATCAAACAGTCCGCAGGGCACTTACCCAACAATTCTGTGACCACAGGACAGGGCCGCTTCAACCAACTGTGTTGAAACCACAATGGCCTAAACCGTCTGTTGATTTCCAGGTCAACGAAACAAAAAGCAATATACCCAACCATACCTCGATTTGTTTTGTCCGTTGCTCACTTTGTGCGTGCCCCCGCACCGCTGTCGCGCCTGCGCCCGCCTTCGCCGGAGCTCGCACCTGCACCTCCACTGGTTTCTTGCTGGTTCTCATTTAGATGTGTCTCTTCCTTTTCCGGATGAACTTTTTGAATTCTGGCAAGGGTTGCCCAAAGTGGCTGGCGTGCTTCTGGTTTGCAATTAGCTAGTCCAAAGGGGAGTGTCTTCAGTTGGGGAAGTCCAAAGGGAAAACTGAAAGATACTGAAACCCAGTTCAACATCAGCAGTCGCACAAAGGGCGTTTGCAAGGCTCCCGAAGCTTCCCTTCCTCATCTCCCTTGGCCCTGGACTCGTTCACAACCTTGTCACAACAAATCACGGAAGCGGGGGAGCACGGGGAGCCTTCGAATCTGTGGTGGGTCGTTACGGGGCCTTGCAGACGAGTGGGATTGCCAAGGAACTCTAGAAAGAGCGGGGGAAGCTTGAATTCCGGGAACCAAACTAACTCCCCTTTGCCCTAACTAATCCAAACAAAATAGGAAAGACCCATGCTCAAAACTTCCACCCCTGAGCTCGGAACTCCATGTAAGCGAGGATGCGCCACAGGCCCCAGAGCTTTCAGCTGGGGAACTCTGCCCGAGCTGAGGAGCGGACACTCGAGCTGAGAAAGTCCAGACCTGCGGACGAGCTGTGCTTGGGTTGGTGATTTGGAGGTTTGAACCTCTGGTCTTGTAGAGGATAAATTGGAATCCAAACTACCAGTAAGTTTGGTCAGTTGCTCATCTAGCCCATTTCACGCATCGACTCTTGAACAAGTGCAGATGTCCGCACCCATTCATGGCAGGGACTGTCCCCTCATCTTCGTCCACACGGGTGTTGATTGTGGCTGCAGCGCTTCTGCTCTATGCCGTGTGCCCTGCTGCCCTGCGGATGCGCGACGTGCGGAAATTTGAGAGAGAGAGAGAGAGAGAAAAAAAAGAGAGAGAGAGAGAGAGCGAGCGAGACAGAGAGAGAGAGGGTATGCGCTGCAGGTTGGGCAAACCGAACCAGCCTGCAAATGCACCAAGGGACGAAGAGCCTAACAGATCAGGCCATGAGCCTAAGGCTCCAAGCACCATACGAGGACCAGCCCTTCACGAGGGCCATCTAAATGCGGCAGAGAGCCAGAAGAAATGTGGCCCAAAATTCAACTGCACCAAGGCATCGCAACTACAAAGACCAAACCCAATTTTGCGAGGCCGCGAAAATGGGGAAATGAGCCTGCAGCATTCTGGCTCAAGAAGTCAGTAAATGGCAAAGGCACAAGGCCTCCCACTTTAGGAGCTGGCCGTGCGCGCGGAATGAAATACCCAAAAAGTTGCTTTCAATGCCAGATTTGAAGTGCGGAGCAGGCTCAGGATCAGATTTGCAGTTGCCGCTTGCCGTGAAGACGCGGCAAACCCCTTCTCCGGCATCTTTGGTATCGTGCGCAGCCGGACTCGACTCCCGTTTCGGTCCCATGCCTCTGGCGTTGAGACAAGTTCGTGTTGCTACTTGTGATGTACTGGATCAGCTCGTGCCGGATGTGTTCGAGCTCTTTGCGCTAACTAGAACTCGTGCCGTCGACTGCTTTGTGGATCTGGTAGGGTCTGGACAACACTGGGAAAAAACTAAAGCATCCCCTTGTAGCTTCCAGGAATTTTAGTATTGCGGTTGCTATTTTACGCCCAGTCCAAGGGCAACTTCTTCATTGGTCTTGCGGGTTCGCCGTTGGGTCCAAGGGGAGGGATTCTAACCCTGTGCCAGCATACCCTTGTTCCCTCAACCCACATGACAGTGATGCGTCAAAGGTTCTCCCTGGAATGAACGTTCATTGCTTTTGTCGTACCATTTTGAGAGTTGTTTGAAGAGGAGACATAGTTTCGTAAGATCAGGTATTCCTGCTGGTTTTGCCCTTATACTGGGGAACAACAGACCCATATTCCAAGACTGGGCCACTGGACCAGTCCATGCTTGATCCTTAAGAAGACCCTGAGACTCGGAAGACCTTCGCTGCGTTTAAGCCTCGGACCCAGGAGTGTCAAATAGGTCTCTCTTGCACGGGGTACGAAAGGGCGCCTGAAAAAGGCTGGTCCCTCCCTCCTTTTGCTTGAGAAGGGGACTTCGGCTCAGACCGTTTGATGATCATCCCATTCAACCTCAGGCTTTTGCGGGGACCGTTGTCGTTTTGGGCTCCAACTTGTTCAGAAGAGTACTTCGGTGCTGCAAGGGTTGATTGGCTGGTTGGCTGGTTGGCTGGTTGGCTGGCTGGCTGGTCGGTTGATGGGATTGGTTTGATCTCCCCACCGCCGTTTCGGCTTCGTTTGGCCGAGCTGCTCCAAGACGACTTGTGCCCTTGGAGCTCCTCCGGGAAGTGGGCGTGCCTCACGAGCGGCTGGTAGCTGAGGTTCCCAGTCGGTTTGGCTCAAGAAACCGGAGGAGGGATGGCTTCACTGAAGTTTTGATGGGTTCACTAAAGTGACATCCAGAAAGTCACCACAACACCATCATGAAGTCTGAACTGGCTTGGACCGTAGCGAACGCCCAACAAGTCTGAAAGTGCTATGCTGCACGCTGACCTGCCCTTCACCACCCAAACACCACCAGCAAATGTTTGTTGAAGCGGGACTGGTTGTGCCCAAAATGAAGCTGATATGGGGAGCGAGTCGCCGTCGAGTGCGATGCGCGCGGCTGAGCTGGGCACGGGCAGTCTCGCTCCATCACACAATGGCCCGTCTGGCGCCAGTGGGGACCCCACTTTTGGCTGCCCCCACAAAAGGTTCACTTCCTTTGAGTCACGAAGGGTAGGGTGATGATTCCTGAGAAGGGAAAGCAAAGGGAACCTAACGGGTTGGGGAAAAGCAACACCTGCTTATTCAGCAGTTTCAACATGGCTCGAGAGCCCCAGTTTTTGGGGGAATACAGGGAATGGTGGTGAAGTGACCCTTTCTGTGACACTCAAGTGGGCCGTTCCCACAGCAACTTCATCATGTCAGGATTCTCAAGGCAAACCACAGAACGGCTCCAACACTGTCCTATGGCATTGGCGGGGGATTCAAGCTCCTGAAATGTACTGGAATTAAAAGGCACGTCGCCTGCAACCAAACAACTTTAAAGCAAGGGGGAACACATCCAAATGCATGCGTGTGATGCCAAGAGGTCCAAAGGTGGATTCGGTTGGAGTGAGCCACAGCTGCATCAAGGGATGATTCCCCTTCCAGGACATGCTGGTTCTCTGTAAGAGAACAAAAGACAAACTAACCCTGGCACTTTGATTCAAGGGGATTCCAAACGGTTCATGTCCAACACCCTGGAAATTCCTACTCAGCATCTGCAAGATCAAGCTCTTCCAACACAGCGCCGGTTCTGAAAGCCCCGACAATGGCGGCAAGGTCATTTAGAGTTGGTGTCGTTCCCGAATTTTAGGACACACCCACACATTGCGCATGGAATTGCAAGGCTGACACCTGCAAACAAACCGCTTTTTGGCGAGCACCAAGGTTGGGCTCATTCAGACAGGGGCTTCCACAGGGTGTCGTCTAGGTATCTGAGTCAATTCAAGTAACCTGCCGTCTTCATCCGTTGTGATTTGCCTGGAAACAAACTCTTTCTCAGGTTGAAGTTCAAGAAAAGTCTCACCTCATAAAGACAACGCACAGGACATGATTCGGAAAAACCAAAAGCACAAAACATTCTGTGATACCCAGGCGGTTCGTCCATATAACTATGCTATGACTTTAAATGGAATTGCATGTGTCCCTTAAAGTGGGTTTTCCACCATCATGTTCCACATGTTCCACACGCTGCCTCAAAACCCAGGCAAAAAATGGCTTGCGGGTGAACGGCATGGATTTCATCCCCTGCTGGTTCAAATGCCATGTGCTGAAACGTTTAAACTCTGACTTTGGAGCCGGCCTCAAGACAACCAATAAAAGTTCAATTTCAAAGCCTGGTTTCAGAAAAGCCACATCAAATACTGGTGTCTTCTTTGCGCTGCAAATTGGCAGCAATCAAATCTCCCAAAAGAGGCATCCCAAACGTGTTTCATTCATTTGTACATATCTCTCCCTGCCCGCCCTCACTTCACACCCCAAGCAGAAGGCCGAAAGCCACCCCCGACCTCCAGAAAATCCAGACACATCTCCCTCTTCTTTGGTGCCTCGCTTCCTGTCGCATCGGGTTTCGGCCAAGAGGCTCCCTTGTTCTCAGTCGGAAATGTGGGAACTATTTTGCCAACCTGAAACGGACCCTAAGTAGAGTCAATGCTTGATGGGGGTATGACCGTACTTATCCGAACGACCCCCTTGCTTTACATCAAGGACGTCCCTTCGCGCTTGTTTCGGCAATGGTTGCTGACATACTACCTTGGACAGAAAACATGATCGGCGTCAACAGCTTTGAATTGTTTGACCGGCCTTGCAGCTTAACTAAATGGTTTTAAGGGCGATTTGTACATATATATATATATATACGTACGTGCCATGTCAAGCTGGCACTCGTTTATCAAAATCCGTTTAGAGCCCCCTGACACAACTCGGATTTCCTTCAAATGCCTTCTTTTGCCCCGACCCCGACCAATCTTCTATTTCCTTCAACAAACCAACCACACAAAATTATCCTTGACACCACCCGGATAAAAGGAGCAAACCGCCAGTATAATTATGGAAGTCCTTTCACCACGCCCATGGGAAGATAGACCATACTTGCTCAAAATAAGGCTTGTATAAACTTTAACTGTCGGCAACACCTGCACTGCCAGCCTGGAAATGCAAATAACATTTGTTGGGATTTTCAAATTTGGGCCAGTTAGCTGCTTGTCATGGTTGTGGGGCACGCACCTTCAGCGATGCCGAAGCGGGCTATTCCTGTGACTTGTTTGGACCCTTAAAAGTGGATCTCCCCGGCACAGAAGAGAGGGCAACCGCCCCCGCCCCCTCCACCGCTTTCGCACAATAATGTAGCTTGTTACAAACTCTGTAGCGAAGAACGACATACCACTCGCCACAATAAAGGGGTGTGTGCGCCATGCCCACCGAGGCCATCACGAAAATCTGAAGCCCACCTACTGGCGCGAGAACATCTACAGCATGAAGGTCATGACGCCTTCCTGGGTTCATAACATTGACACTCTCAACGTTACACTTTGGTCGGTGCCATGTGCCCTTCAGGCAAATCTCCGGCCGAGAGTGGTTGGCTGATGTCCTGGATGGTTTTTCTGGTTGTCTCTCCGTGAGAAATACCCTCCTGCCCAGGGTTCCGTTTCTTGATTGCCGGCAGGTACACTTACTTGAACCTAGGAGCGGTTCATGTTGTGAAAAGGTAACACGCCGGATTCAATTCCCTCTTGGGGTAACCAAAGTTTCAAACACATGGAACCCCGCCCCTGCCTTTCCTGTATAAACAGCCTTCTTTGGTTGTCAAGACAATATTTGTCCAAACCTGGTTCGAACCAACCTCACTTGTCTGGCCTCGTGCCCACCCTTGCGCCTGGCGGGATGTCATCAGCAGCGTTGACCAGCAACCGCATAAGCGCAGCATCCTCAGACATTGGCAATACTGAGGATGGACAAAATCCGCCTCACCCCAGTTGGTGGGGTGGTCTCTCCTGGCTTCATTTATCCCAAACTGGTGCAGGATCTTGACCATAGTGGATCACTGGACAGCTCGTTCAAGGGCTCAGACCTGGATGTATAACCAAACCAACCTTTGATAACTCTATTTGGATGGAACTGTGACTTTTGGTGTTCCAAACAATGCCCCAAATCCATCCAAGAAAGTGCCGACGGGTTGTTGGATCCAAACAAGAAGCCCCAAATGAACCCCAAAGCACTTCTCTGCAACCGGCAGATGCCCATCCCCCCCCAAAACGACTTCAATGGAGCCATATCTTTATTTTCAAATGTGTGGGACCTATTCACTGGAAGCAAATTCCTGGAGCGCTGCGCGTCATATTTCTAGGGAGTGATGTTTTGCACAAGCAATGAGACGCAAAGCCAACGCACAAACCCACATTGTGCAAAGTAGGTGTGTGGTAAGTTAAGAACCAGCAACACCAGAGAAAACCAGTTTAGAAGTCAGACCACGTAGAAGTAAACCAGACAAAAGTACAACCAGCAATAAAGTAAAACCAGCATTGCAGTACGTAAACCTAGCCTCGAGTAACACCAATACAACCAAGTGAAGCCAGTTCTAAGTAAAACCAGTAAAACCAGTTGCAGGTGAAACCATTTCGAAGCAAAGCCTGTTTAAAGTAAGCAAAGTGAGCCAAAATCAAAACCCGGTCTTGAAATGTCCTTCCCAAACCAATGTAAAGAACTACAAAGGCGGAACCTAATTCTGGTTGAGATTGTCCCTTACACTCCAATTACCCGTTTTGTTTTTGTGACTCAAGTGAAAAGCAACCAAATCAAACCCAACCCCCCTTCACATGCGGTCAAATTGATGCTTGCTCAAATAGTTGAGAAAGGAAAGCGGAGTTTCAGTTTCGAGCCCTGCAGTCAATCACCCGCGCGCTTTTGCTTTTTCCCCCCCAGGAAGGCGCGCAGAAGCTCGCCGGCGCTGGGCTCAAGCGAGCCGGTCGCTTCGCTCGGTTCACTCGGTGAGCGAACCGGCGCCCTGCAGAGTGGCGGAGTTAAGGAGGAAAAGCGAGACAAATGGAGGAAGCGAATTGGGAAGAATGGAGGAGCATGGAGCAGGACAATGGAACAAACTTGTGGCCTCTTGTGCCAAATCAAGGTTTCTGAATAGTAAATGAGAAAAAGAGGCTGTTCAGCATAAGAGGACAAGTTTGCTTCCACTGCCCCTCAAGGGAACATGGAGTATGTGCCCCTCGAGTAGGCAGCGAATAAATGGTATGTGCTCCATCCTCCTTTGGGACGTTGGTTTTGGAGCAGTGGAAACCATACTGGACAGGAGGAGAACAAGAAAGAAAAGAGCGGAGAGAAAACAGGAAAAAACAAAATATTAAAAGAAGGAAACAAAGGAGCAAACACGGGAGAGGAAGCGGGGAAAGGGTAGCAAACAACCGATTTAACAGATGAGCAACAGATTGCATCACCACCCAACCACCTAAATTGACGCTCCTTTTTGCTTGAAGAAGCAAGAATAACCCCCTTTCTGTTGGCTTTGAATTGAAGGCCCAAAGGAAATCAAAGATTTGGAGGACAACAGGCCGACCACAGAACTCCGCTGAGTCCTGGCTTAAGCTGCACGTGGAAGCGAATGCCATGCGAGGTGTCCCTTTGGAAGAAAAAAACACTGACAAAGCACCGGAACCAAACTAAAACCAACACCATCGACCCCCTGTGAACCATCCCTTGTGGTTTCCTTTAAGGGGCTCCTCTTCCGGTCCTTTCCGAAACTCCAATTTTAGATCTGTACTAAGAACCAGCAAGTCTTTATGGGCTTCGTTTGTTTGGAAGGCAACTCAAGAGGCCATGTCGGGGCTGGACATTGGGCTTGGGCAGGTTCACAACCCGAAGGGATCATGCGCAATACGGCGCAAGCTCACGACGACTTGCTGGTTCTCCGCAAATCAGAATTCGAGTTTTCCGCGAAAGGTCGACTTTCTAACCCTGCAAAAGAAGTAACTGATTACCAACCAAGTAGTCCGGGTGGCAAACATGATTGGACAAGCTATAGCGGATTACAGTACCTCTTCCCTTTTGCTTGGTTACGCGATCTTCTCATGGTTGTTCAGCACTTGCCCAGTCGACAAGGCAACCATCATGAAAGCGGTCATTGATGCTGCCTTTTGCCGGCCTCCCGCACGCCTTCCAACATGATTCATGGACAAAGGGGAACTCCGGGACTCTTCGGGGAGCCAAAAGCATCGCCTTATCTTTTTTTGCTTGGATTGGCGGTTTGGGAGTTGCACCCTCTTGCTTTGCCTGGGGTACTTGATTTTAACTTGTTTTCCTCCGTCCCAGATGTTGAAAGGAACCACACAACAGGGGAGGTGGCAACCTTTCTTGACAAGTTGATATCAAAAAGAGGGAAAAACAAGGGAATCCCTTGCCGAGGGTCGGAGAAAAGGGAAACCCCGTGGAGGTCTGCGTTCTCGAAGCCCGAAAGCCGTGGCCTCTTCTCGAGGCTCCAGTGAGCACGCAGCAGCTCTGCGGGGCTCTCCTGAAACCGATCAAATGCTTTTTGGTTGCCGGCTCTCGTCACCACAGGCCAACCTGCGAAAAACCGAGTCATCTCAGCGAGGGCTTTGTTTGTACGAGAATGTAGCGAGTCCAACCTCAGAGGATCGAAGCTGGTTCTCGGGAAGGCACCAGATTGGTCGTGACATGTATGATGTGGCACAATGGGGGACGATGTTTTTACCACGTTGCAGTACAAGGCCGTTTCCGAGAATTCTTTCTTGTCAGAGGGTTTGGCACTGTATATTCTGATGCGTGCGGCGTGCCCTATCCAAGCATATTTATACATATATATATATATATACACAATATTGCATATTATATACATATGTGCATGAAGCACTTCTGCATAAAGTAAATTTGTAAGTTTGAAGCCGACTCATATATATATATATATATATACACATGTATATATATATATATATAATATTGTATGCTTGAGCTTGTGCTGCCACCCGACCTCCTTACTGGTTGCAAGGAGGCTTGGGATGAAGCACTCTGTGCAGCGCGCTTGTCAGAACCTGCTGAATCCAATTTGCCCGTGGCTTGATTTCAAAATGTGCCTGCCCTACGCAAAGCCAAAAGTTCAAGCGACTTGGTCCAAAAAAAACCTACATAGGACGCATTTTCAGGGCCAGCCAGAAAAACAAGCACGGAACTCAATTTGGTGGCCTTTCCGCACAATTCGGAAGGTGCTCATGCATGGGGGGATGTGGGTCAAGGCCAGAAATTCGAGTGGCCGAGGATGACATAGCCCAGGGCACTGTGTGCAGCGCCTGTGAGTGAGTGTTGCAACAACGCCTCGCGTGTAGGGTGTCTCTTTACATTAAACGGGCACTTACTACAAGGGGCATGTTCTTTCACCAGCAGACATTTACGTGCAAGCGGAAGACCTGGGATTTAGCGAAGGGCGGGTCCTCCGACCAGAGTCTTTGATCGAGAAAATGAGAAGTCAACCTTCGGTGGCCCTACCGCCATTTCCCATCCCGTCCTGGCGGAGGAAGCTCCTAGGGCAAACCGACCCATTTCCGATCAGGTGGAACTCCGAAAAGGGTCACCTGGACTCCTCAACATTTGTTTGCCACTACAATGAACTGCCCAAAAGGTTGAAAGCAACCCACCCGTGCCAGACGCAAGTCGCACCCGAAAAGACTGCAAAAAGCCCTCCACAGGATCTTGAGCCGGTCGTGCATGAGAGGATGCTTTTTCCCGTCTGGCCTTGAACATCCATGGAACGGCCATTTGGGTTGTTCCATCATTTTTAGGGACCCGCTTCAAAAGGGGCCCAAGTCCTGAAAGCGGGAGCCGGTTTCACGGGCGCCCCATGACCCGCTGACCAGCTACTTTTGACCACCCATTCAGTGGCAAGTAAGCATCGCCATTTTGCCAAAGTCCCCAAACCCGGCGATGATGCTCGGGTCCGAAGTGACACCACCCTCTCGGGTGCAAGGGAGCCCCAGGAACTCGGACCGGGAGGAGGACTCACCCCAAGGCCAGGTTCTTTTCCGGTAGAGGCAGACCCGAAGCTCAGGAAGGAGCAACTTTCCGAGGGGGCTATTCATCATTGGAGGATTCAGATGTTGCTTCAAATTCAGATTGAGGAACCCTTGCAAAGATAGTCTGAATTCTATGAGGGGTCCCGGTCCCCACTCGCCGCAGGAAAAGGGGTGTTTTAATCATGCCACCTTTCACGCGGGATCAACGCAAGCAAATTGGGGGCCCAGAATGTCACTCATGAGGAAATATGCTGAACAAGTCCGCTACTTCATTTTTTTGGATATATTCTGTGTATGTGTGTACTCATCTGGGTTGATTGCAATGATTCACACACCCGCACACCCAAACTAAGGAATCTCCCCCCCCCCCCGTATATGAAACTTCGTCATGAGGCCTGAGGTGCAAACCAAGTAATCTTTGTGGGGTCACTACCAGTTGCCCAAATTCATGGACTTTAAAGGGACCTCCATGATGACACCGGGTTCCGGATATACCCCGCCCATTGGAAGACATCTAAGCAATCAAACTGATTCAATTTGGTGGTTGTCTGATTTGTCTTGTTCCGGACACGCTTTCGGACGACTCGCCTCCATACCTGCCGGTTCTAAATAGTGAATGAGGGAATGAGCCCATACACTATCCCTTACTGTTCATGTATGGGGATCCCTGAGGCTTATTGCAAAAACATCGAACTTCCCAATCGAACCAAGTTTAACTGGCCTTTTCACAAGCCGTCGCACACCTGTTTCTTGGAATCTGGTGATTCCCTGAGAACCAGGTGCAAGCCGAAGCCCAAAGTTCGTGTCCTCGGCAAGGCTTTCATGCCCAAGCGCGCCCGCAGAAGGATCGCAGGGCTGACCTCGCTCCGCGCCTCGCGTCCAACAGAAACTGGCTGCTA